TCTAATGCATCCTAGAATAGTCCTAAACAGCAGATCTCTGCGTTAGATGGCAGCCGTTGTTGCAGCACAGCATCCAATTCTTCAATTTCCAAATCCAGTTCACAAATTTCTCTAAATGGTTCATCAATTTTGGGTATGTCGTTTTGTATTTTGTCAAAGAATGATTAGAATAAGCAAAAGTATAAAGGGAAGAATATAAGTTCTAAAAAAAATAAATAAAAAAAAGGTTTGGTTGCCTGGCTATGGGCGAGCTTGCTTGTTTAGCTCCCCCAAACTGTTCGTTAAAGTCTTCCTACATGTCCAGAATGGCTTCTTTTTGCTTGAATTTGATATGTCACTCTTCGCTTCTTCTGACAAAGTTTTTGTATTCTTACCGCTTGGCAGATGACTCGTAGTTGCCAATCTTTCACTGACAGTGCTCACGTCCACAGTGTAGCCATGGTCACTTTCTTCCACTGTCATCAGTGCAGCATCAGTTACCATGGTGATGGTTAAAAGCGAGCCACCTTGGGCGGCGCTACAGCTCACCTGGTTGAGCTGGCGTCCCATATGCAGGGCTACAGTCCCGATGTGGAGGTCATGGGTTCGAATCCCACTCATGGCCCTTTCCCACATGTCCTCCCCCCATTCTTCTCCCCCACTATCCTGTCTCTCTCTCACTGCACTTTCAAATAAAGGCACAAAGGCCAAAAAAATAACCTAAAAAAAAAAAAAAGAGAGCCACTGAAAACTTTGACTTTAGGCTCAACATACGAACACATTAATGACACTTTGTTGCTCCTTCACCTCGTTACGCAAGCCCTTAATGCTCCCCTGCAAAAATGGGTAGGAAAATGGTTTTATCAGCTTTTTTTTTTATCAGCTTCCTTCCTGTTCTTAAGACTGAATATGGGGCATTTTTTTTATTTATTTTTTTTTTTAATACTTTGGCAAAACTGACATAATCATCCTTGACATTGACTACATTTTATAATAATTACTGTAAATCCATTATATCTTCATCAAGCCCAATGCAACATGTCCAAAAAAATCCCCTCTGCGTAATGACAACAATAAAAGACGCAACACTTTTACTGAACTCCCTCAGTTTAATTTCACACAAGTGGTGTTGACACAACCTGCTTTTGTAAAGAAACAGTCTGTGAAAGTATATGCAGCTTATCAAAAAAATTCAACTCCTGTCACTCACACGTGCATACAGCTGTTTCAGTATCTCAAGCTTTCAGTGCACTTAACAGATATGCTACATGTGTGTCACCTTAAAGTCAGATCACAAGCACTCCAATATTATTCCAGCATCTAGTAGATTGTACCATTGGTCATATTTAAAACTAAAACAACTGGTTGATATCTCTTGGGGTGGCCATTCTTTTGAGCAGTTGGAAGCAGGTGGATGAAATTGTCTTGTGCAAAGAAAACCAGACACCCAAGGACTGTATTAAAAAGCAACAAGTGTTTACTGATTAGAAGCTCCACCGAGGATGTCAAGTGAACAGTATCCTTGTCATTGCCATTCTGCATCTGCTCCCATCAACATGGTGTTCAATGCTACTCACGTTGCTCATCACGTTGCCAACAAAGGTTATCCTTTAGGCTTAACACAGAAGCCCAGGGCCTTCACAAAAAAATCTGTGGCCCTGCAAAGACGAGGAACAACAGTTTACTTTGAAGAGACCTATGTGTGACCTTTGGACACTTATCTTGCACCATGGGTCCACTGTCCAGAGCAGTCGCAGCAGAAATCCCCTCACACTTACTGTATTCTAAACTAGTCATGAGTGCTGGGATTAGTGGCAAGTATCAAGGTCTAAAAGTGCATCTCAAATAATTAGAATATCACGAATAAGTCCATTATAATCAAATTACTTAAGACACACCTCTATACCTGAGCACAGACCGTGCAGTGAGAGTTTTCCTAAAATGTAAGTTACCAGTTAAAAACCCAAGATGACCGAACACCATGTTGAGTTCAGGTAACAAGGTAAGTCATGCACTATACGAGGCAATGTCAAGTCACCGCCGTGCTAAACATTTAGCATACAGTCGGAGACGCAGAAGTCGAGAGATGGATCCTGCAGATCACACCGCAGCTGATTGTCAAAACAAAGACTCAGTGTCTCCTATTAATAGGTATTGTGTGAGTGCGTCTCAAATCCACAGAGGTCCGTTGTTGCCCATTTTCTACACTCTGTTTTATCCTGTAGAGGGTTGCGTTGAGCCTGGAACCTACCGAAGGCCTAAACCCTGTAAAGGTCACTGAGTCACCACAGGACAAACATGAAGAGACATGCATGCATGCTCACTCTCACACCTACGGCCCATTTAGCAGACTGTGAGAAGAAGCCAGACCACATTCATCATCCAAACTTCACACAGACTCAAACTGAGATTCAGATTTATGAGCTGATAAAACACAGAGGCAGTGGTCTAGAAGTGATAACACATCAGTGAGCCACATTGTCACACGAACATGTTCTGCTAGTCCGAGTGCATGAATGAACAAATCCTGAGCACGATGGCATTAAACATTGTTATTGACATTTTAACATGCATTGTTGTAAAAAATCTGAAACACGTCATCTTATCCCTGTTGAAAATAAATTTTGAGTTTAGCTTGTGTTTCTGGGGATTACCATTGTGGTACTCCTTTCTTTTTGGGTACGGGGATCATTTCCTCTAAGAATTAAAGAACAGTGCCGGTGTGACAGGAAATGGATGAATCAAACCAGGGACTGTGGGACGACTGGTGACCATCCAGCCATCCTTGGACAATTCTACAGTTTGACTCAGCAGACGCTTTTACCCAAAGCGACGCACATCTGAGAGCAGATACAACACAAGCAAGGATCTAGTCAGGAGAAAACAATCTAGACAAGTTCAAGTGTGATAGGACGTTGATGCCAACAGCAGGCTGTGTGGGAGGTAATAGGATTTTAAAAAAACATTTTTTTTTGTTTGTTTTCGGACTGTCAAGTGCAAAGGTTATTGGTTATTGTCTCGTTGTGAGCTCCCTCCAAACCACGTGTCACTGACACTCCTGCAACATTTCAAAATGTCATCCGTGTTAAGTTTTGGCCTGGTTTTCTGCGTGCATTTTAAATTACACACATTTTACAGTGTAAATAAAGTGGATTACGTTTTTGTTTTCATCCTCCTTTGGACCC